CCTCCACCGCAAATCTCCGTGCGAGGGTCTGGGTGCACTCCACGAGAGGCTGCCTTGCTCATGCACGCCTCCATGAAAGCAGCTTTCTGGAAGGGCTTCAGGGTCTCTAACCCTAAGCCCTAAACCCTAAACCCTAAATCCTGAACCTGCTGTACCTCGGGTCGTAGCATTCAGGGTTGCTGGGGGTGTTGGGCCAAGCCTATTGGCCAACGAGCATAGGCGCCGGATGGCGGCAACAGCCAGCAAGATCACCTCAGCCGAGAAGAACGTTCTGGGATCAAGAGTTTAGGGTTTAGGGTTTAGGGTTTAGGGTTTAGGGTTTAGGGTTTAGGGTGAATGTCTACACGTGATGATGCAAGATGTGGGGCTCAGGGATTTGGGTTCCCCCTCCCTCCCCGCCCCCGCCAGGTGAACTGTAGACCACCAGTTCTTACAGCCTGAACGCTCAACCAAGCCCCAAAGCCTTTGGACGCAACCTCAATCAACCCCCTAAACCCCCTGCACCCCCTACACTCCCTGTATCACTTCACCCCCTAAACACCCTAAACCCTAAACCCCCTAAACCCTAATTAAGCCCCTTAAACCCTACATAAACCCTAAACCCTCAACCGTAAAACCCTAAACCCAAAACCCTAATTAAGCCCCTTAAACCCTAATTAAACCCTAAACCCTCAACTGCAAAACCCTAAACCCTAAACCCGCCCACACCCGAGGCCCGAATCCCTGGACCCTAAGCCTGCTAGAAACCCTGAACCCCCCTAAAACCCTAAATGCTCAGAATTAGTTTTTTTTACACGAACTTTTTTTTACACGTGCGTGTAAAAAAACTAATTCTCATGAAGCCCGGGGCGCCGGTAGAAACAGGACCCACCTGGGCCAGAAGCAATCCTCGAGCATGTAGGGCTGCATTTCGCCCCTGACAGAGCTGTGACCACATGCTTGCGGTTTAGGGCTTGACTTAGGGCTGACGGCTTAAGGCTTAGGGCTTCGGGTTGAGAGATGAGGGTTGAGGCTTTAGGGTTTGGAGTTTACAGGGCTTCGGAAGCCCTAAACCCTAAACCCCAAACCCTAGCCGGCGTTTCGGCCAAGCCCTCAACTAGAGACTCCCCACCAGACTCCGGCAAGACTGCGACTTGCTTCAGAGCCCCCCCCCCCCCCCCCAAAAAAAAAAAAGAACTAATCATCCCTATACTACCCTAGAAGAATATTATTCTTACTTTTTATACTACCCTAGAAGAATATTATTCTTACTTTTTTGGGGTTCTTAAGCAAATAGTAGAAGAGGAGCGTTGAGGGCCCCCAGCCTGCGCGGCTCAGGGCAAGTCAGCTCCCGAGAGTCGCCGGCATCAACGAGCGGCGATGCCGACCGGCTTGGGTGTTTAGGGTTTAGGGTTTAGGGGTTAGGGTTTAGGGGTAAGGGGTTTAGGGTTCAGGGTTTAGGGCTTAGGGCTTAGGGCTTAGGGGTTTAGGGTCTTGGGGGCCCAGGGGCTCAGGTTATTCAGGGCCTAGGGTGTTGGGGGAAGGAGGAATGACTACTATTTGCTCAAGATCCCTACAGAACCGTTTGGGTGGTTCTTAAGCAAAGACGAGGTTCCCGGCACCTTTCATCACCCTCTCTGGTTTACTTAAGTCTGTTCTCCTTGCTGACTTGATGTGCCTGTGCCGGAATTGCGGCACCGTAAGGGTCTGGCAGCAATTGGTGCTGGGGTGGCGGAGGACAAACGCACACATCTGTGCCCCTAAACAAGGGTGCAGTGCCGCAGGGTTGCAAAGACGGCTTCCCTTAAACCCTAATTATACCCAAAAAATCGAAGCTCTGAGGTGTAAACCCGCAAGGCTCCCCGGACCCGAAATCCACCTTTTCGAGTCCGAAGGCCTGAACTGTGCAGATGTCGGAGGTGTTAGTTTTGGCAACCCTAAACCTTAAACCTCCCGCCGCTCCGCAGTCGGCGCGCTTTCTAGCGCCCGAAAAGGCGGGACCTGCAAAAGCTGCCTCGATGTGGCGGCATCCTCACAATGCGCCATGGAGGCCCACCAAAATTTAGGGGTCGGGGCACGCGTGGTTCCTCTTTCGGCTCCTTAAGTACTAGAGATATTCTATATGTATATATATATATATATGCATATATATATATATATATATATGTATATATGTATATGTATATTATATATATATATATATATATATATCTATAGAAACACACATACACGCTTGCTTTTGTGCTCCTTACTGGGGATGGAGAGCTGAAAATACTACGCAAAGAGGAACTACTCTTCAGGGGGCGTTCAGTCGAAGGAGTCCTGGGGACCCCAAGAAAGAACAACCCTGGCCCCACATGGGTAAGACAAGACCGGAGTGCCTCACTTGACATCCCAGCTCTTTAAGAGGCTCTGGATCTCGAGGTTTCCGGTCACCTGAGCGATGGCTAAGGCGTTGTGCCCGGTGGAGGTCTTGGCGGTCAAGGAGGCTCGGGCGCGAAGCAGCTCCTTGGGGAGTTCTGGACATGATACTGAAGGTAACTATACTCGCAACTGGTCACGCAACCTCACTCATGAGTGCAGGGCTCAGGGCCCTGCGAACTCTCCCCGCAAAACCCCACGAAAACATGCCAAAAACCCCCAAAAGTCCTGAGTTGGGCCGAGATGGCTGTTGCTCAGCGCCACGTGCAGCGGGGTCGCGCCGTTGGAGCTGGCATCCACCTCCGCACGGGCTGCGATCCTTGGGGACGAAATGAACCTTGAAATTGGGGGTCATCTACCCTACACTACTTATAATCCCTATTGAGGTATATGAGCCATAAACCCTTTTAGGAACTGTTAAACGATTTTAAGAAATAACAAAAAGAGTTTAGTTGATCCTGAGCTTGTCATTTCGTCCCCAAGGATCAGTTCCGGCACCGCCTCGGTATGGTTCCCGAGTGCTGCGAGGTGCAAAGGCGTGACGCCATCCGAAGTTCTCGCCATCAGCTCGGCACGCGCCGCCAGCAAATGTTTCAGAATGCCTTAGGGGGCGACATGAACCTTAAAAATGGGGGACCCTACACTACTATAATCCCTATTTATAATCCCTATTATGGTATATGAACCATTTCTCCAAGGTGCTGGTATGGGTGGGTTGTGCTGCAGCCGAGTGCAGCGCCGTTTCTCCGTGGTCCATCACCAAGTTCACGCTTGCACGGGCCTCCAACAAGACCTTCAGGGTATCTTCGCGGCCGTGCATGGCGGCAACAGCCACGGAGGAGGACCCATCACACATCGTGGAATCGACGCCCCCCCGGGCTTGCAGCAGCAACTTGAGGGAGCCGGTGTTTCCTTCCTGGGACGCGATGTACACCGGCGTGGCACCATCAGGCGTCGCGTGGTTCACGCAAGCGCGAGCTGCCAGCAGCGACTGCACCGCCGCGGTGGGGCCGTTCTGGGCTGCCATGTAGAGCGGAGAGGACCCGGACTCATCGATGGCCGGGCCACCCACGTCGGCCCGGGCTCGAAGCAGCTGCTCCAGCACACTGATGTGGCTTTCTTGGGCGGCAAAGAACAGCGCGGTCCCTCCCCCTGGGATCTCGGCATTCACATCTGCACGGGCCGTGAGGAGCTGCGCCACGATCCCCATCCTGCCATCGCCGGACGCGTGGATGAGCACAGTGATGCCCCCGTTGTCCGCGGCATTCACATCTGCCCTTGCATCCAGCAGGGCTGTCACTGCCGGCACGAAGCCCTCGAGGGTGGCGTCGATGAGCGGTGTGTTGCCGGAGTCGTCCTTGGCCTCCAGATCCGTGCCCGCCTCCAGAAGCTTCCGCACGGTGTCGATCTTGCAGGCGCGCACCGCAAGGTGTAGCGGGCCTTAGATCAAAGGGCTTCCTTTTCATCTTGGCGAGTTTTAAGAAGGAGCCTCAGATCCCCGGAAAAGAGAAGGAAAAGGAGGCCCACTGCGAGATCAAGGGGCTGGGCCCCGACGGCCCCCGGCACTCAGCGCTGTAGGCCACGTACCCGGATGCCATCACGGCTCTCGAAGTCTAAGGCCGCGGGCCAGGCCCCTCACCCCAAATGTTCCGCGGGGGATTCAAGGCAAGGTACGACACAACAGCCCGGCACATCCCAGCAAGCGCACACGGCTCGCTGTGGAAGTGAGGAACTTTTCTAAAGGAGTTTCAAGTCTGGTCCTAAGCGTCTGGGTGTCGCACTTCGTCCGGGGGACCTGCTTAGCATCTCGACGTCTCTTCGGTGGTGTCAGCACACGAACAGTAAGCGATTGTCTCCTTTGCAAGCAGTTTAGGGTTTGGGGCACACCCTAGATGCAGATCTACTAGTTTGTTGAGCCCATAGTTAAGTGGGACCCCAAAAGGGTGCCATGATTTCGTAAAGCGACCATACGGGCAACATCCGAAAATCGGGGGAGCTCCCCCCCCCCCTTCTGGACATGTGGGGGTTTCCGAAAATGGGGGTACCCTTTTTGAGGGCTCCCTTTAAGGGATTCTATGCTACTTGGGGTATAAAAGGGATACCCCTTTTTTAGAAATGCCCGTGCAGACGTGTGAACTTTCAGAATTCTTCACCAACATAGGAAAGAAGGAGCAGTAGCATGTGATACAAAGGGCAGTGCCATGCATCCTCCACGCATCCTGGCACCCCATGGCCCCACCTAGTTAAAACGTAGCCCTAACCCCTAAACCCTAAACCCGAAACCCGAAATCCGAAAACCTAAACCTTAAACCCTAAACCCTAAACCCTAAACCCTAAACCCTATCTACAGCGGCCCTATAGGTTCGGATTCTAAGTCCGGTCATGCTGTAGCTTAGTCATAAGCTCTTTTTGCGAAAGGTTTGGTAGAGGAATAGTTGATAACAGGGGGCCGTTTAGGGTTTAGGGTTTAGGGTTTAGAGTTTAGGGTTTAGGGTTCAGGGCTTAGGGTGGGAGGTTTACATATTCGGGCTCAGGGAGTAAGGGGGGAGCTCTTCCTGTCGATGCATCGAAACCCTGAATCCTGAATGCTTTTTGGCACATCAAGCTGTCGCCAAGCGCGCCTGGTGCCCAGAGCGTTCTCCAAAAAATGGGACTCGGGTCTAGTGGTTAGGTGTTTTTGTTTGATGCTTAGGGGTTGAGGGCTGTGGGAGTTTAGTTCTTAGGATTTAGGATTTGGAAGGCTTGCTTAGAGAAGTTCGTAGCCTGAAGCCTCAGGTCTTCACGTCGAACACCTTGCGGATGCCATTCAGGGAGTGTTTTGTTGCCCAGGTTGTGTTCTTATAGGGCTTACAAGGTTTCCAGGGCCTGGGGTCAAGAGTTTTAAGGGTTGAAAGCGTTTATGGGGCTTACAGGGCTTGCAGGTTGGGATGTTTTTGCTTATACTAGCAGCCCTTAATAAAAATCATAATAGGGGGTACTATAATCCCTATTAAGGACTGTTAGTATAAGGGGAACATCCCATTTTGTAGGGTTTATAGGGTTTAGGGCTTAGAGAGTTTAGGGAGCTAAGGCCAGCGGGACTCGCTATAGACTGCACAGCGCAACCCTTTCCGGAACAGGAACCTACTACTTGCTTAATGAGAACCCCTGCCCCCCAAAAAAAGATAATAATCCCTTGAGTGCCCTTCTAAGGAAGAAAGAACATTCTTATGAGTTGGGGAGTTCTTATGCAAATACTAGTAATGAGTCCTGGGTCTCGGGTTCGGGATGCTTAGTTGTTGTTGACCTCCGCGGTATTGCATGCCGTTCAACATCTGGGAACAGAAGGCTTCGTCCAAAACAAACACACACACACACACACACACACACACACACACACACCCGCACACACACACACAACAAAAAAAAAAGACGGACAAACAAACAACACGGAGAGTGAGACACACAAAGAGCGAGCGAGCGAGAGAGAGAGAGAGAGAAAGAAAGAGAGGCACACACACACACATACAAACACGCGCGCAAACACACACAGAACCACAGACATAGTCACACGGGCAGAGGATCCCACAGGAAAACCAAGTGCAACTGCAGCTAGAAGTACCACTGCCTCAGGCCTGTCAGCAAGTATATGTACCTACAATCAAAAACCCCAAACGAACCAACCACCCAAAACCGTAAATCTGAACCCACGTCTGCACTCCAAAACAAACCGAAGAGCTTGAACACCCTAAACCCTAAACCCTAAACCCTAAACCCTAAACCCTAAACCCTAAACCCTAAACCCTAAACCCTAAACCCTAAACCCTAAACCGAATTCCTTTGCCTGCAGCAGCTCAAGCTGCAGATCTGCCTCACATTGTCTGCACGGGACAGCTCACGTGCGCGGAAGCAATGAACGACATGGTGGCGCACACCAGCCAAGCTGGCAAAGGCGGTTTAGGGTTTAGGGTTTAGGGTTTAGGGTTTAGGGTTTAGGGTTTAGGGTTTAGGGTTTAGGGTTTGGGGTTTGGGGTTTAGGGTTTAGGGGCTACTTGCAGACATAATGTCCAACGTCAACTTTTTCAAAGCAAAAACATACGACTAGCCAGGGCTGGCTGTACCAACTCGGTATAACTCGGTGAAATGAATGAAGATACCAAACTTCGACGGATTCCCTCGGGGAACATCCCATCCTCTATCCCCCCCCAACAAAGGCCCAAATCCAGCAGCCGCCCAAGGCGCGGCTGAGCAAAGCTCGGAGAGGTCCACCTCCCGAAGTGTAGGGTTTAGGGTTCAGGGTTCAGGGTTCAGGGTTCAGGGTTCAGGGTTCAGGGTTCAGGGTTCAGGGTTCAGGGTTCAGGGTTTAGGGTTTAGGGTTTAGGGTTTAGGGTTTAGGGTTTAGGGTTTAGGGTTTAGGGTTTAGAGTTTAGGGTTAGGGCGAATGTTCCAAGAAGGCCTCCCCCTCCTCGGTGGCCCGGCTCATGAGGTCCCTGGCTCGCCTGGGGAAGGAGAACCGGGATGAGGAGGGGGGGGGGGGGGGGGGGGGGGGGAGGGGTTTAGGGTTTAGGGGTTCGTTCAGGGTTCAGGGTTTAGAGTTTAGGGTTTAGGGTTTAGGGATTAGGGTTCAGGGTAGATGTTTGGATGCTAGCTGCCTAAGGTTTGGGGTCCTTGGGTCGCGGGGTTAAGGATGCTTCGGAACAGGCTTCGGCTGTCTGTCCTCCAGCTGGCAAGTGGCGCAGGGCAGCTGCTCAGAGTTTCATAAGGCGGTTTCAGGGTTTTAAGGGTTGGGTGATTTTGCTTCTAAGGATTTAGGGCCCATGAGTCCTGTTGGGTTTGGGGCGGGGGCAGATAGCTTCGGAGACCGCACGGTGTTCTCACAGGGATTCAGCTTCTTTGCCTTCCAGGCTTGCTGTGGGCTACGGGCTGACGGATGCTCTCCCCTGCCAACCCTGCAAAGCCCTAAACCCCCCAAACCCTAGACCCTAAACCCTGAACCCCTGAAACCCTAAACCCTAAACCCTAAACCCCTAAACCCTAAACCCCTAAACCCATAAACCCCCTAAACCCCCAAAAGCCCGCCTCAAGAGCTCAACTCCGCGCCGTCGCAGGGCCACGCCATCGCCTCTTGGCCAGCATGGTCTTCCTTTGAGCCTATGGGAACCTAGGGCTACACACATATATGCACAATAGATGTGTGGATATATAATATATGTATGTATATACACACAGCTACTGGGAAAGAAACATACGTGTATATATATATATATATATATATATATACGTATATCTATGTGCACACATTAGCGGTGTACGGGCTTGGGTTCCCCAGAGACCGCGTGAATTAGAGAAGGGCTTCGGGTCCGGTTGTTCGGGCTGAAAAGGAGAATGGCATGATTTGTGCTTGGAAAATCAAGCGAGGCTCCTTAACAAAGAGGGCTTGGGGGGCTTTTGTTAGGGTTTAGGGTTCGGGGTTCAGGGCTCGCAATTTGGGCTTCAACTCGCGCGTTCAGACTTCAAGGGCACGGGAGTAGTCCTAGGGAGTGCTTCAGGCCTCAGTCGAAATGCGCCCTGAACTTGGATGTCTCCTACTCTCGCGGGATGTTCACCCTTAAAGTGGGGCTCTAGGGGTTGGGGTTCTCGTTAGGGTTTTCGGGTTTTGGGGTGTTAGGGTTTTCGGGTTTTGGGGGCGACGAGGGTTTAGCGTCAAGGGTCTGAGGCCCCAAGACCCCATATGGGTCAATCCCCAAAGCCTACACATTTACAAGGAGCCAGACCCTATTTGCTGAGTATCCTGGGCACAAAAAAAAGTTAACCCATCAATTCTGGCAGGATTTTGTATTCCCCAACAAAGGTTAAAAGGATACCTACTCAGCCCTAGACCCTAAACCCTAAATCTTAAACCCTAAACAAAAGCAGACTCTGGGTCTGGGCCATGCTCGGGTTCATTCAGGGTTCAGGGTCGAGGGTTTAGGGTTTAGGTTTAGGGTTTAGGGTTTAGGGTTTAGGGTTTAGGGAACCCAAAACCCTAAACCCCAAACCCTAAACCCACATGTAAGGCCGGGGCTTGCCGAGGCGTCGGCCGCATAGATTAGGGCCTGCGCGGCCTGAGGGAAGGGTTTCGGGCTTAGGGTTGAGGGTTGCGGGTTTAGGGTTTCAGGGTTTAGGGTTTAAGGCTCAGATTTCATAAAGGCTAAGCAATTATGATAAAAAGGTTGAGGACGCAAGCTATGATAGTCGACAGACTTGCTGAAAAGGCAGGCGATCCGGTTAAACCACCGAAGAAGCCCATCGAAAGCCAGATGACATCGAATGAAACCCAAAAACCCTAAACCCTAAACCCTGAACACTAAACCCTAAATAACCCTAAACCCTAAACCCCACCCTCAGGCAGAAATCGACCCCCAGATACCGGCCAGAAATGTTCCTAGACACACCCCGAGACCCTCAACCCTCGCAGCCCCAACCTGCAAACCCATCTGAACCCCCAAGAAACTCCTTCAGCTTCAGATTCGGTTTAGGGTTTAGGGTTTAGGGTTTAGGGTTTAGGGTTTAGGGTTTAGGGTTTATGGGGTAGTTAAACTGAGGCTCATGTGTGGGCCATGTGGAGCTGTACCTGACTGCAACCCTACTTCGGATACCTATACACCAGACTTGCAGCACCCATGAAACATCAGTCCTAGCCGCTTCGATCTGTTGAGGACCCTGGAACACTTTAACCTTGAACCCAGTGGTGTTCCTGGATGAAGGGCAGTGTAGGGATCAAGGATGAGGGCCTACGTCGTTGAGGGTCTTCAACCCTTCATCTTCAACTTAGCGGTGTGCCCCGAGAACCAACCTTCGGAACCCACCAGCAAACTTGTACCACATAGATAAGGCACACGTGCCTTGCTTAAGGGGATGAATGGCGCCCAAATCTCCCAAACCCACACGCCCCCGTACAGCTTCCCGTGTTGAAGGACATACATGATCTTGATTCCCCCCCCCCCCCCGTATCGAGGCACCTTCTGCAGGACGACTCCGCCGTTGGCATCCTCTACCGGCCGAGGAGCACACATTTCGAGTTCAGGGCTTAGGGTTGAGGGACGGCTAGGACCTCCTGATCGGTTTAGGGGCTTCGCGGCGGTTGGGAGGTTTAAAGTTTTAGGTAGGCGAGCTGCGCGGGACGGGGACTTTTTGCGCTGTTTTGTTGGATGGTGTGCCTGGCTACACCCTAAACTCTAAACAAACCACCCCGAATCGTTTGCTGCGCTGCTTAGACTCGAGTGGTCCACGAAAGGTCCGGGCGATGCTTCTGCTTGGGGTTTTGAGGTTCCTTCAAACTGTAGCGAAGAGGAGTACTTAGAGTTGCCAGTCCCGAATTCCCGAAGAAGCGCCTGTGAGCTGAGAGCTTTAGCTTTGGCCTTGGACGCCTTGAAGGCAGCCTCTGCATGGGATCCCCTCCACTGAATGCCCAGGTAAGCAACGGGCTTGAAACCTAAGAAGTAGGGAATGGTGCCTCCATGAAGAAGTGGCTACAATCCGCGGAGTCTTCGAGCACCAAAACGAGCGCACATCAGATGTCTTTCGACTGAAATGCCATGACTTGCTAGCACTTGGTTAGCAGCCCTGATGCCTAATCCCTAAACCCCCAAGTCCCAAAACTCCTTTGAGCCCTGAACCCTGAAGCCTAAACCCCGAACCCTAAACCCACGCCCGAGCTCCGCTCCTGGTCTAAACCACGTTTCGACAAGTTCGCGAGGGCAAGGTCCTGCAGGTCTTTAGCTACTTAGCGTTTAGGGTCGTCGAGGTTCAGGTCGAGGCATAGGGGCTCGGGGTTAGGAGAGCGGGTTGCGTTTTCGGGGTTTAGACATTACGCGGGCAGCGGTTGAGGCTTCTGGTGTGTCTCCTCACATTGAGGCTCCCCAAAACCCCAAGAACTCACCCCTAGCCGCCCCCCCTAACCCCTGAACCCTTAACCCGAAACACGAAACCCTAAAACCTAAACACTATAACCTAAGCCCTCAACCCACGACCCTCGACCCTCAACCCTCAACCCGGGTTCCCCGACAGCCCTGGACCTTAGAGCTTCCGTACTCAGATGGGTTAGGGGGTCTAGGGTCTAGGGTCTAGGGTTTAGGGTTTAGGGTTTAGGGTTTAGGGTTTAGGGTTTAGGGTTAATTAGGGTTTAGGGTTTCGGGTTTAGGGCTGCAATTTGTTAAAGGTCGCTGTTGCTTTTACTCGTGAATACTTAATCCTGAACCATAAAACTCTCATAGGGTTTAGGGCTTCGGGGGTTAGGGGGGGTAAGTTGCCCCAGACCATTGGTCCACCGAAGGCACCAGGAAGCGGAAGTGTAGTCTGACCGGCGTGCACAGGGTTTGGCGTTCAGGGGCTTGGGGGTTTTTGGGGTTGGGGGTGTAGGGTGTATGGAGTAGGGTTTGGGGCTTCGGGCTTGGGATGTAGGGTTTGCGCTTTCTCAAGCGCAAAGCAGCCCCAAAATAACCTAGACCCGACTCGGGCTTCTTGCTTTGGGGTCTGGTCCACTTTGCTTCATCCTTCATTGCTTGAGAGTTTGGGGCTTACATAGGGGACAGGTGTTGGGGGACCCTTGGGGATATAGACCCTCTGAATAAGGTCCCTGTTTAAGAGGATTGAGAATGAGAAGGGTTCCCCTTTAAGGGTCCCCCTTATCCTACCTAGGATTACAGGGCTCACGGTTTTCGGTGTGCATGGGCGCAGGGGCCTTTAGATTTGGAAAAGGGAGACCGGCAGGGTCTGTGGGGTCGCCACAAAAAAGGCTCACACAGCAATCAGGAAAAAACGAGGCAAAAGCACCAGACCATGCATTTGAGACGAGATTGTGCTCTTCAGGGTGGGGTCGCTAGGATCCAGTGTGCAAGTCTAGGGTGATCCTAAACCCCAAACACATCTAAACCCTAAAATCCTAACACCCACGGAGAAGATTCCTAAATAGAACCGCAAAAAGGGAAATACAAAACCTCCCAAGATCCGACCCAGAGCCTTATGGCGCTCACATAAAGTGTCGGGACCCATAACTTGTCAACATTTGTAAACTCTACATGGTTTCGGGTTTAGGGTTATTGTTTAGCTATTGATAGGAATGCAGGACCGTCACTCCGGCTGTTTTCGAGAATGCGGCCCCTTCTATTCAGGCCAAATGAGGTTCTGGGGAGGCGGCTTCAAGAATCAGTCCCCAAAGCTCCCTGCAAGGATAGTTATAAGTAGAGTTATAAGAGCCCTAAATGGGGCTATAAGGAGCATAACTTAGGTTATAAGTCCCTTAACTAGAGTTAGTATAGTAAGGGGGGCCCCTCCTTGTAGACCCTAAGGAACGGAACCCAGTAAACCGCCCCGAGCCCCAAAACCTGCAAGCCCTAAACCTTACTGTAGCAAGATAGTCGCCTCAACACCTAGACCCTAAACCCTAAAAAACCCTAAACCCTAAACCCTACACCCTAAACCCTAAACCTAAGCCCTAAATGCTTACATGACATCACAGCGCCATATTGAGACCTCCTCCCAGCCCACGCTCAACCCGAACTCCCCGAAACCATGAATCCCTACGGGCCCCGGTCGACCTCTGATCTGCTGGCGCCTTCGCAGCTGCCTCCGTTTAGGGTTTAGGTTTAGGGTTTAGGGTTTAGGGTTTAGGGTTTAGGGTTTAGGGTTTAGGGTTTAGGGTTTAGGGTTTAGGGTTTAGGGTTTAGGGTTTAGGGTTTAGGGTTTAGGGTTTAGGGACTTCTGACAGGCCAGTACAGGGAGTTTGGGGTAGCCATGTACGATCCGCAGTGCCGTGGTGTCAACGCCAAACTTGCTTTTCATGATCTAGATGCACGGCCCTGCATCATGCATCAAGGCGAATGGTTTGAGAATGCTTGTTCAGTGATACCTTGGGACAGTGATAAGGGCGTGCCAAGACTCTTCGCAAAGCGCCGCACGAATCATGAACATGCTGCTGTGATGTGTTCAGCGGGTCTCTTTGGAGGATCCAACTTTGACCCATGCTTTCGCGAGAGCTGGTTGGGGATAAGTGCGCTGACGCACAGTAAACCCTGAACCCTAAACCCTAAAACCCTGAAGCCTAATCAAACCCTGTGCACATCGGGTACCTTCCAAATCTTGCCACGAGTCTGCCCTTCGGACCTTACCAGCACATCGTGTCTTCAATGTTGGCTCACATACACTTCTGAGGGCTTAGGGTTCTTCAGGGATTTTAGGGGTTCTAGGCTTAGGGTTTAGGGTTATGTTCTGAAGGGCGACTAAATCATATAGCCATGGTACACTTGAACCATTCACATTGCTTTTTTTGAATATGCTACAAACTATCAACTTGGCTTCAATCCCGTCATCTCCAGGGGAAACATCCTAAGGGACCATTATATCATCAAGTCATGGTACACTAGTCATAATGTTCTCATTGAATCTCCGAGAGCTATGACTTGGCCCCAAGTTTCGATACTCTAAACCCTAAACCCTAAACACTAAACCCTAAACCCTAAACCCCTCCAGGTCTCATCTGTCTGGGCTTGCCTGCTCACCCTCGTCGCTTTCCTCGTCGGCGGGTCCAAGGATGAGCTCCTGCTGACGGGTGGGGGGGGGGGGGGGGGGGGGGATTCATCTCAACAACCCTTCTGGAACCTAAAACCCCAAAGCAGAAACCCCAACCTTTAAGGAATGTATGAGACCTACCGGCACGCAGAGGGCCTAGTGTTAATTGGATCTGACTTTATGTTTATGACTATGATCACATGTCGGGCTTGATAAACAGGGTAGCAGGATTAAGGGTCCCTTCTAGGGGTCGAAACATCCTGTTCGCCTTACACTGCGACCTTAAGACACTCCACCCCCAATCAGAGGAGGGGGGCAGGGTTCGGCTTTGGGGTTTAGGGCAGAGGGTGCAGGGCATAGGGTAGAGTGAAGGGTTTGGGTTCTGAGGGGGGGGGGGGGTATTTGGACCCTAAACGATTGCAACCCTCAGACGGACTGCTACTGCCGAACAACAAAAACACCCCTGCTACCCTTGCTTCAAGCTCCAAAAGACCCCAACAATATCCACAAAGGGTAGGTCACCTTCTGTGCTCTAAGGAATCCAAGCACAATGGAAAACAGCCCCCGGCTCTCCTCTGCCAGGTCTAAGAGCTCATACACAGCCGTTGGCCGGATGCCATCCATGCCTGCCTGTACCTCTCAGAGGGTCGGAGAATCCAGATAACCCAAGAAACAACGACAGGTAGTTCAGCACTTGAGCTTGTAGCCTAACTGGTGGCTTGAGGCGACTCGTTGGGTTCAGGCTTAAGCTTCAATCCCTGAACGAGTTTGTATATGTATACATATATATATATACATACATACATACATACATACGTACATACATACATACATACATGCATACATACATACATACATATATATATATATGTGTATGACTTAGAAATATACATAATATACATAATATTTATATATATATATATCGAGAGAGAGAGAGAGAGTTAGATAGATATATAAGTAAATGTCCTCCACTGCATAAATAAGTAAATGGATACATAGGTAGGGTGAGGGGGTCCTACGAATGCACTGCAGGTTAGGGTCACCTGGCCCCGACATGCCCCACGGCCTCCAGAGCCTTCCGCAAAGCCTGGCACAGGTGACGCGAAGCCTACACCCCAAGCCCTTAAACGCCAAGAAAATCCCCCAACCTCTTAGATGAACAGCGAAACAGTGGAACTCCTAAACCCTAAAACCAAGCCTCCTTGATGCCTGGCTTGTGCGGTTCTAAGGGCTGCCAAACCCTGGCCCTCAGCCCCGAACCCCGAACCCTAGCTGAAGCCCCAAAAACACTGAAAAGCAAGAACCCCATGTTAACTGAAGCTCTCCACATGCCCCCCAAGCCGAAGCCAAACCCCTAAACTCCCCTAAACCCCTGAAGACCCTAAACCACCCTTATGCTAGGGACTATCATAGGGGGGTACTAAATTCCCGATTCAGGATTGTTAGTCTACGGGGGAACATCCCAACCCAACAGCCCCAAGCACCCTTAAAAACACGCCCAAAACCTCTAAGGCCCAAATCCCTAAAGAGCGCCCGCCTCAAACGCCTCCACGCCGCGCCCGGCGCTGGCCAGCGCCTCTGCCAGGCCCTGCAGGAAAAATAGTAAAAGCAAAGGCTTAGGACGCAGCTTCACTGAAGCAACTTTGGGGTTTAGGGTTTCGGATTCAAGGAAAAGGGTGTGCAGTTGGGTGGCTTTCCGCGTGTTAGAACTGCAAAGCGCACCCAGGACACTCGCTTGCGCCCCGACTTTCTTGAGGGCTTCTTCCTCAAGCTTCCGACACCATCATGACATTCTGAGAAAAGAAGCCTCAAAATGCTCGGGGCCAGCAAGCTCGTAACCTTGCCCAGGCAATCGCGCGATTAGAGGAGGTTGGGTGGGCAAAGCCGCAAGATTCACAGGCTGAACGCCTCAACCGAATGGTTCATGATGTTCAGGATACCAGGATGGCCCATTATACCCTGTAACCCCTTAAAAAGGCCCTCTTTATAGGGGTGATTATCGGGCCTAGTAGCCCATCCTGATACACAACCCCTTGCCAGGTTTCTTCGTTTGCGACTTCTGGTAGAATGGACATCAAAACCAGGCCGCTGGAGGCGCTTCGTGTGCCCTGAAGGCGTGTCTAAGAAATCATAAAGGCCCAAAGGCCTGAAACCCTCATCAGGAAATCAACCTGCCTGCGCTGCGGAGCCATAGAGTGGCGACTGCCTTCCCACCTGAGACTTGCTTCAGAGAGCCCACTTTGTTTAGGGTTGTGATCTTGGACCACGTGAGGGGCCTCGCAGATATGAGCCGAACTACGTCTCGATGGACATGCCTCGCTTAAGAGGCAGATGCCCTAACCGCCTCTGACAGGACTGGCCGGGCAGGCAATGACTTGCTCTAGGGTTTAGGGTTTAGGGTTTAGGGTTTAGGGTTTAGGGTTTAGGGTTTAGGGTTTAGGGTTTAGGGTTTAGGGTTTAGGGTTTAGGGCTCAGAAGCAGAAGCCTAGGTGCCATCCAAGGCACAAGCTGTTCGAAGGAGGCTGCTGCCAATTCGTACCTGGCATGAGCCTTATGGGGGTTTACGAAAAACAGGGACCCTTATTCTAGACGCTCTGAGCCGCTAGAGACTTGCTGTTGGTTAGCAGGAATGAGGGGATCAGGGGCTATATATGTACGCATATATATATATATATATGTATATATATATATATATAGATAGGTAGATATATATATATATATATGTATACCCTTAAAGAGGTATATGTATATATATATATACAGAAAAAATATACATATATATATATATATACACACTTAAAGGGGGTTATAGAGAGTCAGACCGGGTGCTCCGGAGTCGGCTTGGCACCTCGCAAAATGCCAAGGGTTGAGCAGCAAACAAGCTTAGGGGGCGGAATATTGCCACACACCTGAGCTGCATATCGCCGGGAAGCCTCCCTCAAAAACCCTAAACCCTAAACCCTTAACCCTAAACCCTAAACCCTAAACCCTAAACCCTAAACCCCCCTTAGGCTCTGAAATCAGAGACAGTTTAGGGTTTGGGGTTGAAGGTGCTGGTCAGAGTCGAGGTGAAGCTGCAAGCAACACATGCATTTTGCTGCTCGGGATCCGGAAGCCCCTTCGCCTGCCGCCCCTCCCCCCCCCCCCCACCCAACCCCCCCACCCATCAGCCCTAAACCTTAAGCCCTTAAGCCTTAAAACCTAAACTCTAAACCCTAAACCCTAAACCCAAAACCCTAAAAGAAGCCCCCCCCCCCCCCCAAGTTCACCAAACCGAGCCCCCACCAGAGTGTATGTTCAAGTACCAAGACCCAGCTCCTTGGAGCAAAGGCAAGCTGGAAATGACCTTGCAGTTCAGGTAAGACACCAGCTGTGTAGTAGTATAGCCTCAAGGCCATCACCCCTCGGGGCCTCTCGATGGCCTCCGCGACCATACCCTCATTCAGGTAGCCTTAGCAGGCCCCAAGAAGTGCTTGATGCGTACCCCTAGGTCTACTACTCGGGGGGTTGAACTGCACAGTTGCATTGCGAGGCTTTGCCACAACTGTTCTGGCATGGCCACGCCAAACTTGCAGCGGAACCTTGATGAAGCTGCCCAGAACGAAGTCTAAAAGAAACTTTGGCAAAACCGCCCGTACATCCAGCTGTAACTTTATACACCCTCAGCGAAGCACCAACGGCCAAGCAGCACTCTGCCAATGCCTGCTGGACCTTCCACCGGGAGGGTCCCTCAACCTAAACCCTAAGCCCCTAAACCTAAACCCAAATTGCCAAACTGCCTCCGCATGAAGAGCTCCTTAATGGACAATCGGTTATATTATGGACGGTGGGGAAATCACAAATGTAGTACAGTAGAGCGAAGTACTCGGTGCAGCTGCGAAATGCCCCATGAACTTCCACGTAGTGTCTGGGGCTGGTCTGTTCTTAAGTGTGATTAAAAGGAACCCTAAGCCCTAAACCCCAAACCCCTCATAATATCCTTTTATAACTTAAGGGGTATGGGTTTGAGGTATGCTGAACGAGTCTTAGACAGGCTAGTGCACCCCTACCCCCCACCACATACAGCAACATAGGCTTGTCAGGGGCAACACGGTCCAACATAGTCAACCATGATCATGGTCAAAACAAACATGTACATAATTGTTGTTGCCTAAAGCGCATGGTTCTATTCTAAGTCCTAGCGAGACAACTGCTGTATGAGGGGATGAAGGGGAGGGGGCTTCCCCTGCCTAAAAAACAATAAGCCTGCTGTAATGATAGAACACTACTTGGAGGTTCATGGTATTTATTTATAAACCCATCATAAGCCCCTTAAGGCCTTAAGTGCCCTAACATGGCCAAAAGTACAGTTGCAAGTACAGTTACACTTGGTTAATAAGTACCATGAACCTCCAAGTTAGCCTTTGTGGGCCTGCCTTTGCCAGCGTGACAGCATGACCGGAAGTTTCCATTCTCTTGACGACTGCCAGCAGCATGGCCTTGTAGAGCAATAGGCGGGACAGGCTTAAGACTCGGAGCTTCCGAAAGCATGCAGAGGGATTGGACTCCATATCATAAGAGAAAGCACCTGGATTTTGCATGAAAAACGGCTGCCTGATGAACATGCTGCTGCTCGGGCAGGCGGCGTTCATTTGAGATGTGGGATAGGCCCGCTGTCATTGGAGCGGAGAGCGTGGTTTTCAAATAAATCCGTTGAAAACAAGCACAAACAAGAGACACGTTGAAACAGCTGACTTGTGGTAGAAACTGGTCTACCGGTCTATCGACCCACACACGGGATGTCTTGACTCCGATTATCCTGCGTGGTTCGATTACCCGAATTACCGCACACTCATGTACACGAGGCTTCTCCCACATCAAGCTCACGCCCTTCCTCAACGTGAAGCTGACCATCAGAACCCTGGTGATTTCATGGAGAGCTTCGCACAGAAACTCTAAACCAAGGTCTCCCTGATAAGTACACCCTTCAGAACGGGGTATCATACAACAGGACTACCCCCACACGCCCAAAACATGTCACAGGACCCTGAAGCGACAACGAAAAGAGCTGAATTCGAGCGTGCAGCGACATTTCCCGACAGAAGCCCCGGCATCAGCTCCAATCCTAACGCACATCTTGAGACTTAAGCCCCCTGAGCCCGGAACCCTAAACAGACGAACCCCAAACCGCGAAACCCACAACCCTGATTGACCGTGATAGTCCAAACCCTAAACCCTAAACCCTAAACCCTAAACCCTAAGCCCTAAACCCCGAAACTGCATGCCGGGCGGCGATGGCCGCAGGCCCGTCGCCTTGCTGTTTGCGAACCACCGCCTGGTACCAAAGGTCCTCAAAGGGGGTTTAGGGTTTAGGGCTTAGGGTTTAGGGTTTAGGGTTTAGGGTTTAGGGTTTAGGGTTTAGGACTAAGGGTTTAGGGTTTAGGGTTTAGGGTTTAGGGTGTAGGGTTTAGGGTTTAGAGTTTAGGGCTGCGCTTAGCATAAGGAGGTTTCTGGCTTACGCTGCTTATGGGATTCAAGGCCCAAGGATTACCGGACTTGTTGTGTGACATGCAAAGATTTCAAGGACAAAGTTCTGTCGGGCCCCACACCAGAGAGCAAAGCAGAGAGGCAAACATCCGTCCGCGGAATCCGACACACTGAACCTAGCCCGTGAATTCATCAAACAATGAAACCTAGATCCAGACCCGGAAACGTAAACCCTAAATCATGAACTCCCACCGCCCAAAGCCAAAAACCCTAAACTCTGCAACTATTCGCTTATGAACCACCCAAAAACGATTCAGCTCCCTTTTTGCATTTTGCCTGAGGTCCCAGGAGTGGTTTCATGGTACAAAGAAAGCAGAGTAGGCTTTCCCTTCGAAGGTAACCCTAAACCCTAAACCCTAAACCCTAAACCCTAAACCCTAAACCCCATACCCTAAACCCACGGTGAGCCCTGAATCTTTGCAAACCCCCGAGCCATGCCTTGGAAGTCCGAACACCACCGGCAAACAGTAGGGGATCCGAAGTATGGATTCGTAATTTGGGTCCCTTGTTATTAGAACCCCTGAATGACATACACTATATATATATATATATATGATACGGGCCCATACTTCGGAACCCCTAAGCCCCAAACCGCAAACCCTAAACCGCAAACCCTAAACCCTAAACCCTAAACCCTAAACCCTAAACCCTAAACGCTAAACCCTAAACCCTAAACCCTAAACCCTAAACCCTAAACAAGGCTAAGGGGCCATACTAAGAGCCCATGGAGTCCTCGGCATCTGGCTCGCCGCCGGCGAGGCGGATGGCCTCCTGAGGCGAGGAAGGGTTTAGGGTTTAGGGTTTAGGGTTTAGGGTTTAGGGTTTAGGGTTTAGGGTTTAGGGCTTAGGGCTTAGGGTTTAGGGTTTAGTGTTCTGGGCTCAGGGCTATAGGCTGAAGTTGATGATTTGGGCTTGGCAGTTTAAGGTCAGGATGGTTTAAGGTTTAGGGTTTCGGGTTTGGGGTTTAGGGATTAGGGCTCATTGCTTGAGGCAGATGGCCTCGCAGACCTCGGACGCAACAAGACCTGGACTGCGAGAAAGCGGCCAAACCCCAAACCCGTTAGTGTCCCTACGTTGGGATGTTCCCCCTTATACTAACAGATTCTAGTACCCCTAGTAAAATCATTAAGGGTTCCAAGTCCCTGCGCGCTACGACCTTACAATCCCTTTATTCGATTAAAAACCTGAATACTACCCTGAACGCTCTAACCCTAAACACTGAGAAGCGAGTGAGAGGAAGAGGCAGCCTAAATATGGCTGCGGAAGGGAGCCTATTGATCGGTGCGGGGTTGATCGTTTTAGGGTTATGGGGTTGGGGGTTCGGTGTGCGCCCGTTTGGGACAGTGCATGCTTGAACCCTGCAAGCCCTAAGCAGCAGAATGCGATCTGCACCTCGAGGGCATCGCTTGCCCGTTCCGGGTCGCCCAAAGCAGTGTAGACGACACCGAGCTGCCTGGCGAAAAACGGGCTCGGATCTTGAGGCGTATATCCAGGGTTGTTCATGAGCTGGGCAAAGCTTACTAAACCCTAAACCCTAAACCCTAAACCCTAAACCCTAAACCCTAAACCCTAAACCCTAAACCCTAAACTCTAAACTCTAAACTCTAAACTCTAAACTCTAAACCTCACCAATCCTTAGCGACTGTAAGAACTGAGAGGCCCGGACTTTGAAGCCTTCGGATTGCAAGGAGGCGTCTGGGCATGATTGTTACGAGAAGGCCCTGCGGTGTTCTTGGACCTTTGCTGGCTTAGGAATAGGAATATGGAGTCAGGTGCTCTTGCTAAGGAACTTCAACTAAGCTATACAAGAGATAGGGGTACAATGGCTTCCTTACTACGGGAACTTAACTTTAAGTCCCTGAACCAGAACCCAAAAAATCCTCAACCCGACAGCATAAACCACCCCAAACCCGAGTCCGTAAACCCTCACCCTCCACACGATTCCCTCAACCCACCCAAGCCCTTAGCTACCCTAATAACCCCAAGCCCTAGGCCCTCAACTCAAGCCTTAAACTTAAACCCCTCAACCCGATTCCCTAAACCCTAAAACAAACCCGAAAAGCTCTAAACCCTAAACCCTTAAACCGAAAAGCCCTAAACACTAAACCCGAAGCCCGAAACCCGAAAAGCCCTAAACCCAAAACTCCAAACCCTTAAACCCTTAAGCCTAAACCCTATACCCTAAACCCGAGACCACCTCTGCAACGCTGCCGAAGGCGGCGATGACTCGATCAAGTCCTCCAGGAGCGTGGCGCTCTCATTCCTCAGTAGAGGGTTTAGGGTTTAGGGTTTAAGGGTTTAAGGGTTTAGGTTTTAGGGCTTTTCGGGTTTAGGGCTTGTTGGGCAGGGTTTGGCCGTGGGATTGAAAAAACCCTCCAACATGAACCGTTTTACTTAACGAAGGCCTTCAGCAGGCTGCATGGCCTAAGCGAAACAGCTAAACAGCTAAACCCCAAAAGGAAGCCCTGCATCTCCACATCCGAAACCCAAGATCTGACATCCAGCATGGCCAGTTCTTCAAAGTATGGCCTTTTCTAGGGTGCCCCTGAATGCCAGAGGCCCTGCCTCATGCTGAATGACCCAAATACGCCAAAGGCCCCCAATCAAGCCCCGCAAATGGCCCCCCAAAGGGCCACCAAAGGCCCCCGCGAAAGGCTCCCCAAAGGCAGCACAAAAAGTCCCTCAACAGGCCCCCCACAAGGCTTTTCAAGAAGCCTTTTCAAAAAGCCTTTTCAAAAAGCCCCTCCCTAAAGGCCACCCACAAAGGTGTTTCAAAAGGGCACCCCTAAGGCGCCCTTAAGGCCCCCGGCAAAGGCACCTACTAAACCCTAAACCCGAAACCCTAAATCCTAAACCCTAAACCCTAAAACCCAAAACCCTAAAACCCTAAAACCCTAAAACCCTAAAACCCTAAAACCCTAAAACCCTAAAACCGCAGCTCCGGACCAAGCAGCTGCCGACCCTGCTCCAGTCTCAGGGCCGCCAGGTGTTGGAGGCCTAGGGCTTGGGGGGGTAAAGGTGAGTGTGTGCATGTGGGGGTCTAGGAGCTGAGAATTTCACGGCATTGGGGGTAAAAGGCGGTTTGGAGGCCTTGCAAGGCTGCGAGGTGGGCACCGCGGTTTAGGGGCCTGGCTTCGTGATGCTGGAGGGCTTCATCTCCGCAAAAGAGGGACCCCGAAGATCCTCCAAAATTCATGAATCCCTTATGGGCCCTTAAGTGGGTACCCATATTCCGGGAAGCCCCAAAAACCAGGACAGAGAGCCCCAGGATGCATTGGAGTGTTTGCCCCCCTTTGGGCAAGGCAAACCCTTAAACCCTAAACCCTGAACCCTGAACCCTAAACCCTAAACCCTAAACCCTAAACCCTAAACCCTAGTTGAACATAGCTTGGGGGTGGTGGGCACATCTACAGGCAAGACGAGCACACAGCTAGAGTGCTTCGCACCTGCGTGCAGACCCTCTGTGAACACACCCTCACCCCTAAACTTTTTAAACCTTCGAGGCCCTGTAGACCCTAAACATCCCTAAACCCTACAGCTGCTGTAAGATTCATTGTAATAAGGACCTCAATAAGGTACCCCTGATTTCGCAAACGCGCAATTAGGCCACAAGAGTAGCGTTTCAGTGCGTAGGAGTCAACCCCTAACCCCTGACCCCTGACCCCTAAACCCTAAACCCTAAACCCTAAACCCTAAACCCCGCACTGCGCCGAGCATCACCGCGAGCCCCAGGGCCCCGCCAGCTTGCGGCAGGTGGCCTCTACCCGCTGCAAAAGCAGGCCGGCCTTGTCCTTGGAGTCGAAGGGTTTAGGGTTTAGGGCTTAGGGTTTTGGGTTTTGGGTTTTGGGTTCACTGTAGGGTTTAGGGTTTACTGTAGGGTTTAGGGTTTAGGGTCACAGGGTAGCTCTTCGGATTTTAATATTTCGGTCTCTGTGTGCCCTGGAGACCTGAAGCCCTCGGCACCAAACCCCGGTTGGGTACAACTGGGTGGTCCATGTCTGCCCAGACAGGGTTTAGGGCTTAGGGTTCAGGGTTCAGGGTTCAGGGTCAGGGCTTAGGGTTTAGGGTTTAGGGTTTGGGGTTTAGGGTTTAGGGTTTACCCAAAGGCTCCCATGTAGTACCTTTTTTGGGTAGTATACTAGAATCCCCTTCAATTAACCCAAAAAAGGAACTACATTAGAGCCTTTCTAGGATTAGGGCTCAATTATGGGATTCATTGGGGTGTAGGGCTACGGTACGGTTAATTCTCGAACTCATATTATCAGGTGGCACTCTTTAGCTGTCATGCCCAAGGCAGCAGCAGACGTGCATCCACACCCAGAGAAGGATCCATGCCACTCGTCGTACCATTATGGAGCTAGGTAACCGACAACCTACTTAGCATTAGGGCTTTCTTTTGGGCGGATTTTCTGGGACAAATGTATATCAGGACTGGCCAGCGCCATGACCAAGACCTCCAGAGACGTGCCCGCAGACCCTTTGGCCGTAGGGGCTCGGACCCCCGCAAGGAGGAACCGCAAAAGACGAATTTGCACCCACCCCCCCCCCCACCCCTCCCCCCCCCTTCAACTATACCCCAAAGGACTTGTTCAGTGGCTCATAAGCCATAAGCGCCCTCAGGACCCGTAGTTAGGTAGCTTGTAGGCCGCTGGGGAGGGGGCTGCGGTAGGGTGCCATAAGCTGCAAAACTCCTGCCCCTGTACATTGGCCCTATACGGTCTGTACATGCATGGCCACGGGAGTCATTGCGGCTTTCGGAAGACATCATAACGTCGGAAGAGGCTGCCGGCCGTCCCGACCTGTTTTAAGTTGCGAGCTGCTGCAGGTTCTTTTTCCGATGTCCGACCATGGACCTACGGGATGACCACAGACGCATCCGGCGAAGGGGCCGTGGTGATGTGTGCCACCGTCACGTTGGACGCATTGGGGGCCTGCGCGGTGCCGTTGCTCACGGCGCTCACGTTCTTGGTGGCATTTGTGAGGTTGACCGCTGGCGCCGGTGTCGCCGAGGCCGAGGGAAGGATGAGCACGGAGGAACTCGGATCGACCCTCATGTTCAGCATCCCAGAGACCTCCGTCCCTTTGAGGTCCACCTTGCCATCATGCCAGGCTTGCACAAGAACATCGCCGATGATCCCCGAGCGGACGGTGATGTTCGCGTCGTCCGCAAGAAACAGGTGCGAGGCGTTTGCACGCGACTGGAACTTCTTCACGGTGAGGTTGCTCTTGCCGTCTGCTGCGAGGTCCCCTGTGACAATGTCCACCAGAACTTGGGCGCCACCAGTGACGGAGACGGATTGCAGCGGCATTGGCAGCTTTAGGGTAGCCACCTGAGCCCCGTCGGGCCACGCAAAGTGTTGCCTGGTGGCTCGGTCGTCCATGCCCAGGAGCAGGGTGGATCCGAAGGTCATCGGCTGAACCTGTGACTGGACTGTCCAGCCCAGGCCCGTGGAGTCTGCCGCAACATCGAGATCGGCATTGTGCAGGGTCGGGTCTGTGATCACGGTCACCACCATGGGGGAGCTGACCTGCAGTCGCTGAAATGGGGGCAGCCGGTCGCGCGACGCCGCAACGGCAGCGAGCTGCAGCAGGATGCACAGAGCTGTCATGACCATCCTGGATGCACGGACCCGAAGAACAGTAGCTGTCCACTACTTGGTCGATGCCCTACAGCTGGAACCTCTTGAACACGTGTCAGGTTGCAGTTCCTTGGGTTCTTTTCATGCAAGCTATCTTCAGGGTTTTGCAGTCTACCTGTGTAGCTCTTCAGGATTTAGCGCTCTTCAGCACCTCCTAAATAAGTTCCATGGTTCAGGACAAGGCTGTTGGGTGCTAGGGGCTTCAAGCCTTCAGGTATCGGGTTTGGGGTTTAGGGTGCGGGGTTGGGGGGGGTTTAGGTCATTTGAGCGGGCAAATAAAAGAGCCGGCCCGAAAGCAAAGTCCGACTCTGCTCAGGCAATCGCAACATCCTCAACAAGCTCGGGTTACATGGGGTTTCATTAGGGTGTAGGGTTATGTTACACTCTTTAGCTGTGATGCCCAAGAGAAGGATCCACTCGTAGCACCGTCATGGAACTAAGCCCAAAACCCGACTTAGCATTGCGGCTTCTTGGCCGCTCATAGTCTTTTGGCCGGATTTTCTGGACAGTATAGGCAGAAATTTATAGCAGGACTGGCCAGCGCCGTGACCAAGTCAGAGCCCACAGACCCTTCGGCTGCATGCACGGGCTCGGACCCCCGAAAGGAGGAACCCAAAAGACGAATTTGCACCCCCCCGCCACCCCCCCCCCCACCCCGACACAAACGATAACCCAATTACGTAAACTATAGGCCGCTGAGGAGGGGAGCACGGTAAGGTGCCATGAGCTGCAAAACTCCTGCCCCTGTACATTGGCCCTATACGGTCTGTACATGCATGGCCTTGGGCGTCATTGCGGCTTTCGGAAGACATCATAACGTCGGAAGAGGCTGCCGGCCGTCCCGACCTGTTTTAAGTTGCGAGCTGCTACAGGTTCTTTTTCCGAAGTCCCACCATGGATTTACGGGATGACCAGAGACGCGTCCGAAGGGGCCGTGGTGATGTGTGCCACCGTCACGTTGGACGCATTGGGCGCCTGCGCGGTGCCGTTGCTCACGGCGCTCACGTTCTTGGTGGCATTTGTGAGGTTGACCGCTGGCGCCGGTGTCGCCGAGGCCGAGGGAAGGATGAGCACGGAGGAACTCGGATCGACCCTCATGTTCAGCATCCCAGAGACCTCCGTCCCTTTGAGGTCCACCTTGCCATCATGCCAGGCCTGCACAAGAACATCGCCGATGATCCCCGAGCGGACGGTGATGTTCGCGTCGTCCGCAAGAAACAGGTGCGAGGCGTTTGCACGCGACTGGAACTTCTTCACGGTGAGGTTGCTCTTGCCGTCTGCCGCGAGGTCCCCTGTGACAATGTCCACCAGAACTTGGGCGCCACCAGTGACGGAGACGGATTGCAGCGGCATTGGCAGCTTTAGGGTAGCCATCTGAGCCCCGTCGGGCCACGCAAAGTGTTGCCTGGTGGCTCGGTCGTCCATGCCCAGGAGCAGGGTGGATCCGAAGGTCATCGGCTGAACCTGTGACTGGACTGTCCAGCCCAGGCCCGTGGAGTCTGCCGCAACATCGAGATCGGCATTGTGCAGGGTCGGGTCTGTGATCACGGTCACCACCATGGGGGAGCTGACTTGCAGTCGCTGAAATGGGGGCAGCCGGTCGCGCGACGCCGCAACGGCAGCGAGCTGCAGCAGGATGCACAGAGCTGTCATGACCATCCTGGATGCACGGACCCGAAGAAAAGTAGCTGTCCACTACTTGGTCGATGCCCTACAGCTGGAACCTCTTGAACACGTGTCAGGTTGCAGTTCCTTGGGTTCTTTTCATGCAGGCTTTCTTCAGGGTTTTGCAGTCTAGCTGTGTAGCTCTTCAGGATTTAGCGCTCTTCAGCACCTCCTAAATAAGATCCATGGTTCAGGACAAGGCTGTTGGGTGCTAGGGGCTTCAAGCCTTCAGGTATCGGGTTTGGGGTTTAGGGTGCGGGGTTGGGGGGGGTTTAGGTCATTTGAGCGGGCAAATAAAAGAGCCGGCCCGAAAGCAAAGTCCGACTCTGCTCAGGCAATCGCAACATCCTCAACAAGCTCGGGTTACATGGGGTTTCATTAGGGTGTAGGGTTATGTTACACTCTTTAGCTGTGATGCCCAAGAGAAGGATCCACTCGTAGCACCGTCATGGAACTAAGCCCAAAACCCGACTTAGCATTGCGGCTTCTTGGCCGCTCATAGTCTTTTGGCCGGATTTTCTGGACAGTATAGGCAGAAATTTATAGCAGGACTGGCCAGCGCCGTGACCAAGTCAGAGCCCACAGACCCTTCGGCTGCATGCACGGGCTCGGACCCCCGAAAGGAGGAACCCAAAAGACGAATTTGCACCCCCCCGCCACCCCCCCCCCCACCCCGACACAAACGATAACCCAATTACGTAAACTATAGGCCGCTGAGGAGGGGAGCACGGTAAGGTGCCATGAGCTGCAAAACTCCTGCCCCTGTACATTGGCCCTATACGGTCTGTACATGCATGGCCTTGGGCGTCATTGCGGCTTTCGGAAGACATCATAACGTCGGAAGAGGCTGCCGGCCGTCCCGACCTGTTTTAAGTTGCGAGCTGCTGCAGGTTCTTTTTCCGAAGTCCGACCATGGATTTACGGGATGACCAGAGACGCGTCCGAAGGGGCCGTGGTGATGTGTGCCACCGTCACGTTGGACGCATTGGGCGCCTGCGCGGTGCCGTTGCTCACGGCGCTCACGTTCTTGGTGGCATTTGTGAGGTTGACCGCTGGCGCCGGTGTCGCCGAGGCCGAGGGAAGGATGAGCACGGAGGAACTCGGATCGACCCTCATGTTCAGCATCCCAGAGACCTCCGTCCCTTTGAGGTCCACCTTGCCATCATGCCAGGCCTGCACAAGAACATCGCCGATGATCCCCGAGCGGACGGTGATGTTCGCGTCGTCCACAAGAAACAGGTGCGAGGCGTTTGCACGCGACTGGAACTTCTTCACGGTGAGGTTGCTCTTACCGTCTGCTGCGAGGTCCCCTGTGACAATGTCCACCAGAACTTGGGCGCCACCAGTGACGGAGACGGATTGCAGCGGCATTGGCAGCTTCAGGGTAGCCATCTGAGCCCCGTCGGGCCACGCAAAGTGTTGCCTGGTGGCTCGGTCGTCCATGCCCAGGAGCAGGGTGGATCCGAAGGTCATCGGCTGAACCTGTGACTGGACTGTCCAGCCCAGGCCCGTGGAGTCTGCCGCAACATCGAGATCGGCATTGTGCAGGGTCGGGTCTGTGATCACGGTCACCACCATGGGGGAGCTGACTTGCAGTCGCTGAAATGGGGGCAGCCGGTCGCGCGACGCCGCAACGGCAGCGAGCTGCAGCAGGATGCACAGAGCTGTCATGACCATCCTGGATGCACGGACCCGAAGAAGAGTAGCTGTCCACTACTCGACGCCTAGCAGCTGGAACCTCTTGAACACGCGCCGGGTCGCAGTTCTTTGGGTTCGATCAAGCATGCGCCAGCATCTGCATGAGTCCCTTTTACTTGACGTTCGGACATAGCAGGCAAGTGAGGGATCCCAAACCAGCTATAAAAATCCAAGGCACCAGGCAGTGGGTGTTGATGTACGCCCCAGCAAGATCCTTTCACAAAGTGCTTGGGCTTTGGAAGTTTCGGGTTTAGAGTCGCCCAAGAAGGCGCTGACTTGGCAAGCAAAAACCCATTGAAGAGACAGGGGGGTCTTTTCTCTAAAAGATGGTCCCCTTTCGGGGTCCTTATTGTAAGGCGGCCCCTATCAGTTAGTGTACCCAGAAAGGGACCACCATCTTGAGAACTGACCAAAGGGCTTCAGGAACACGAGATTGCGCATCGTCACGAGGGGTTGTCATTGCTGTGCTTAGTCAAGTGGAGCAGTCAGTCTATCCGTCAACCCCCACCCCCCAAAGCCGCTACCCTAAGCACCCAAAATTGCTTGGGCGGCAGGCTTGCGCAGGCCATCCTGAGCATAGAACTCAACGCCCAAACACCGCCTCTTCTTCGGGTTTAGGGTTTAGGGTTTAGGGTTTCGGGTTTCGGGTTCAAGTTCGCCAGGCCACAAGCGTCGCGCGTAGCAAGCGCTGGTTGTTCAAGTTGCCCTGGCAGGCTTCCACCAAGTGGGCGTACCTTCGTCCAGCCGAGCTTCGCTTTAGGGCTGGGACGCCACTTAGGGTTCAGGGTTTCGGGTTTCGGGTTTCGGGTTTCGGGTTTAGGGCGGTTGCTCAAAAGTTCGGGTCTTGTGGTTACGCTTTCTGGCAGGACCCTTTTCGAGGAGCCTCAGAGTCGGCTTCCGGGCTTGGGGCTCAAGGTTGGGAGTTTCGGGTTTTTGGGTTTAGGGTTTAGGGTTTAGGGTTTAGGGGTTGTCGTTTGGGGGTCTAAGGTGTCGGAGGGGGACCTCACATGCTGAACACATGCATGTGCTTGGAGCGGAAGCCTCTCCTCATTTGAAGACCCCGAGAACCTTGAGACAACTGCTAAACCCTAAACCCTAAACCCTAAACCTTAAACCGAAGTGGCTGTTGAGCTTTAATTTCAGCGCCCTAAACCCTGGGCAATCTCAACCCGAACCTAAATCCCGAAGCCTAACCCATAAGCCCCCTACACTTTGCCCAGATGCTCAGAGTAATAGCTATGTCGTTTTTAAGTGCGTCAAGTCCTTGGCTGGGGAGCATAGGGCTCTCTGGGCACCCTCTTCCTGCTTTGACACCCTGAACTAACAGTCTTTCAGAACCTGGATTTAGGTGCGCGTTGGGATGTTCCACCTTATACTGACAGTCCTATATATATATATATATATGTATATATATATATATATATATATATATATATATATTGTCGAATATTTTCTCCCAACTAAAGACTGTTAGTATAGGGGGGAAGATCCCAAGGTTTAAGGGTTTGGGGTTTATGGTGGGCCACTGGGACCCCAGCTCATCCTCCAGCCGGCGCAGCGCTGCGCCGTTGGCAGCGGCACCCCCCGCAAAAGGGAGTGCAGACCTGACTCCG